TGTTCAGTGTCAATTAGGCCGCATCTTTCTCAGAACGTTGACTCATAACTAGGTCTAGTGTATAATATTTTGAATAATTCAACAAGAAATTTTTGATAAAGTTATCATATAACAGTGTTTAATCAATTATGGGAAATATTACGTGATAATTTGTACGTATTTTACATTTATACGAAGGAGATTTATATAGTAGGCCTATTGTTACTTTTAAATGTTTAAGCAAGTTTTTAAATGATTCTAATTATCTTGAACATTGCTGCAATGAAAAAAATTCTAAATAGAAAAATGTTTATAAGACTACTTTTTCACTATACAAACTACTTTAGATATAAAATTTTGAAGCACTATTTTAAAGAGCGATCACAATTCATGATAAATAATTATTTCTGTCCATAAAACATATAAATTTTAAGAAATTTAAGCTGCAGACAGCTGTTTATGAACTAAATTTAAATGTAATTATTTACATATTTTAATAGTTAAAATATTAAGTAGTTAAATAGTTATATTTAAAACATTTCTTTAAAAATACTTTAAATGAAATAAAATGTGAAAATTCCAAAAATAAAAATAATCCAAAAATAGACGAATATGCCTGTTGTTAAATTTGGTTATAGGCGTAGAAGGCAAACCTTAATTATCCTATTAATTTCGTTTCTGAATTACAATTAGGCCTACACACGAATTATATCAAGTAACAAGCCTATAATCGTTTCTATTAAAAAAAATTCAAATAAATCAAACTCTGAATATTACTGCCAACACTTTTATAGATTATTTATTAATATAATATTTATTTGTAATCAAAAATAAACTAAAAATTGAAGAATAATAAAAATAAAATAAAGTAATATGTGATTGGATAAAAAAAATGACTATTAAGAAAATCAGACCAATAAACTTTAAGTATTAATAATGTTTCAAGCATTATTGGTGCTCGTACGACTATAACCATGGAAGATTGGCCAGTTTGCGAATAACAATAACAACTATAAAAAAATAGCAATATACAATATTGTTATCAACACTTTGCGAATTAAACGAGTAGTATTAGTGACGAGTAGTGCACTCCTTTTAGAGTGCATATTTCTCTTTAAGGGCGGAGTTGTCACTGACAGATAAGCGACTGTTGCGACAAGTCCAACCAGTTCTTCATCCATGTCACTGAACTTAATAGCTCGATCGTGTCAACTCTGTTTTCTAATTAAATGTTCCAAAAGAACGATACTACGTCTGTCATTAACGTCCGAATTTTTATATGCTAATCTAATACAGATAAGCTTATCTTAATAATTTGTAATCTGAAATGAAAAATAGAGAGTATGTTTAATCTGAAACTTTGATCTTATTCAAATGTATCCTTTTATTATTTCCTAGCAGGTTTTAAAGATAAATTACTTAATGTTACCTTTACCTTGCTTAGTCTTTTTATCTTTTTTTTGTTGTTTACTGATGGGCTATTAATTTTATAAATTATTAATAATTTATGAGGTTGTTAATATTAATTAATTGAGATGGGAATTAAGGAATTTTTATTAGTTTTCTTATATTATTTATGAAATATTTATGCTATGGTTTGTTTGAAGAAATATATTATTTTGTTATTTAATATGCAATTAATATGCATAAATCAAATTAAAAGTTTTTAATCTGTGAAATTATTCTGAATATTTTTACCTACAACTTTTCCCGTAATTAGAAACGATTTTTGTTCCTTTCAATATTAAAATAATTATGGTTTTATTAATATATTGATACTTTTTTTAATTAAGAAAAGTAACGATTTTTAATTGTTTTAATAAATTCTTTGACGAAAATTATTTTCTTACACTTAGAGTAATATAATTTGCCAGTTTTTTTTAAATAAAACATGGGATTTGTGAATTGGGAAGAGAATAATGAAATTTAGGCTATATCTTTTGTGAGTTATGCGGGTTTATATTAAAATATAGAATAATATTGTGTGATTGACATTCTGCGATCGATCCAAATTAATAATTTTATAAAAAAAAGGAACTTCTTGAGAAAGAAAAGATTCTTTTATCATCCAGTAGATGCATTTCAATAATTTTGAATAACGAAATCCATTCACGTTCAAGGACATCATTTAAGAAACGCATGAACACACCATTGATCCATTTACTGCACAAAACCCACTCATCTGTAGAAATCGGAAGCTGAATTCGGCCTTTCACGAAAAATAATCATTAAAGAAAATTGTCGAATGAAGAAGAAGACTCATTGAATTTTCGCAATGCTACAATGCTGCTCAGTTACGTGACTCGTCGAAACACCAATGGGAAGTCACGAAGAACCAAGTCAAGACAACCCTATTGTACTTGTATGTGACATCCGACAGACAAAACGTATTCATCATACTTAGTAAGTACAGCTGTCTGGGAGACAGGATGATGTTACGGAGTATGGTTTCGATCGGTATCAAATGACAAATATTTATTGCTGTATGTGAGTATATCAAATAGATTGTTATACACGCATAATCGTGGGGAAGTCAGCTTGACTAACTCTTTATATCCTGCACGAAGATATATATTTCCAGGATAAGAGATATTACAACTTTTAACAATACGTGCATATTGGAATTTATGCACCTGAATCGTGTATCAAAATCACTTTAAACGGTATTTTAACAGGTGCTAAACATTCCGCAGATATTTTGTGACAGTATTACTAAATATTCGTTTATCCAAAAAAGTAAGTAGATTCATGGAAATTGAGATTAAGTTATAATAGAATAAACATAAGATGTATAAACTTTTAATTTTAATAATAATAATAAAAAAAAAGGTACTAAAAACTCTGTTGTCAAACCTAAATTCTTCGGAAAATTAAAAATGTGAATTTAATTTGGACTTTATTTAGTAAGATTTGTACCGAGGATCTATTTATTTAATTTCGAACAGGTTTTTCACGAAAATCAAGGATTTATCAACTTAACAATGTAATATTAAATGTATTATTTATTGCTAGAAGTTTTAAAGTCTAGTTTTTATTTAAAATAGATCGTTTAAGAGCATTTAGAATGCATCTATCGTACTGTAGTTTAATTTGCCATTACGATATAAGAAAAAATAAAACCTAGCATAAAGATTATAGGTAAAATTCGTAATTTACATCGAAGTCACTAGAAAAAGTCGTATTTTTTTTTTCTATTACAAAAGCAAAGATAATTTTTGCGGGATCAATTTCTGTCTACTTGACCCTTCTCCTTCAGAAGTGATAACCATCTGACTTTAATCCAATGCCAGTTGAGGTGGCAGAGGAGCCAGGTTATTTGTAAAGCTCTTTTTTAAAGATACAAAATCTTAGAAGAAGAAATCTGCTAAAGAGACGATAGAAGCAAAGAGAGAAGATAAATAAATACCTTGATGAGATTAGAAGAGGTAAGCAGTTGACGTGACTGCAGTTGACTCTAGATCTAGAACATAGGCCAATCCAACATTAAATCGCTGTATCTGTAGCAAAGTATAGGTTTCTCCAGACATGCACTTGATGTATGCGTTTGTAGCGTGACTAACCACCTCTGACCATATCATTGTTAGGCCTACTCAATATGGCTTATCAACAACATCCTATCGTCTGAGATTACTGCAGGATTTAGATACTCTCCTTACCTTTTTCTTAACAATGATTTCTTAGTCTCATTCCTAATTGCAGTTACTCTGCCTCTCCACCTCCGCCCGGGGAGGATGGCTGCGACCTTTCGGAGGTTGGTTATACACGTGTCTCCACGCTAATTATGGACTTCGACAGTTTCTAGATGTCTGTATTGTTGGTTAGAGTAGTCGTATGCCGTCTTTCTTTTAGCACAATTACTACTTTTTTAAAGACGTGCTACTACTTCGAGAGTTATCTTCAGAGAGTAACTTCAACATAGTTTGGTTACGTTATACTCAATTTAAACTCATGATAAATTAACTATAATCTGAATTTTAATTGCTGACTTTATCATTACTTACTTTGGAACATATCATTTTACTTTTGTAATAAGTTACTAAATAAGTTGTATATTTATTTAAATCCTAAAGTTACTTCAAAATATACCTTCTAGATTTATGAAATAAATCTGTTTTATTATGTACTGTATTGTACTTTTTATCTTAATTATCAATATTTGAAGTAGTCGTTAAACGTAAATACGTCTAGCTTATGTTAATTTGCTTTTAACAAATACAAATATAACTATCCGTTATAAATTAAATAGACATAATACTTTGCATTTAATTTCGTTAACATAATTCTAAAGTTTTTAAAATAAATTAGTTTATATTGGTTAAATAAGTTAAAAAATAGAGCTTTCGAAAATTTATTTTAAATTAATGCTGTTGCGTAAATGATTCTTCCCAAATATGATCATAAAAGCTATTAAATTCAGACTATATTTAATTTCATTTTTAATATTAAAAATAAACATAATTACCGAATAAAAAATAAATAATCTCTCATGCATTAAAAGTGAGTCTAATAAATTACTTATTGTAATTTTCTAGTTAATTTAGGTAGGCATAACCTAATTACATTAAGATCAAGTTCAATCCATGTTGATTAATGTTGTGATCTAGGTCTACATAATTACGATGAATAAATTTATTGAGACATTACTTATGAAAAATAAAATTAAAAAATTTAATACAATTTATAATTTTATTATTAAATTCATTATAATATTTATTAATAAATTTTATTAGGCAAAATATATGTATTTATAAACCATTTCCTAACTATTTAGGCTTATTGTTTCTAATATACGATCATTATGTAGGCTACTGTACAGTACGTATAATTAATTAATTATTTGCTTTAAATATAAATTACTTAAATCTATTATTTTATAACAACAAATTTTTAATTATAAACAGTGCTTTATACAATTAAATATTTTTAAAAAAGTAGAATTTTTTTTAATAGATTTTCGTTAATAATTTTGAAAAAGAAATTATTTTTACAATAAAATTGATTTTAATTTTCTATTTATTTAGATGTGCTTCTTCATTACTCGTTAAACAATCCACGTGTTCTCAAGAGAACAGTTTCATTCCACAAAGACGGCACAACCTGGAACCAGGCCGGCCTCCTATCCGGCTTCTGTTGCTCGTCACAGTATGGGAGTGTCGGAGACAAACTGTGTAGGTCCTACCGACAATCAATGCTCGGTGATAAGATTAGCGAGAGAACCTTCTCCTCGTCCTCCCGATAAAACAGATGAAAAGTCTTCAGATATTGAAGAAAAGTGCGAACCTGAAGACTTTCCTAAACGCAAGCAGAGAAGATACCGCACCACTTTCACTAGTTACCAGTTGGAAGAACTGGAGAAAGCTTTCGCTCGTACTCACTATCCAGATGTCTTCACAAGGTAAAAAGAAAAAAAAGATTGTTTTTCCTCCTTACTTTTTTTAATAAAAGAAAAAGCTATATCTTTTATCTCCCTGATTCATTTTACTTCGCGATATCTGAACTAAAATAAGACTGATCAACTATTCATTTTTCGGATAAAAAGTTATACAAGTACTGTATTAAAACCTAATTATATCCAAGTGGCCTAATAGATAGTTTCAAATTTCCCTTTAGGCATTCGTATTTTATGATTAATGCTGTGATAATGTCTTCGATCTATCACTTTTTTAAAACTTATTAATAAAATATTTTTGTTTTAAATTTTCATTTTAATTAACTTTTTTAAAATTATATATTCTACTTATAACTAATCAAGTGTAGTGTAATTTATGACATCGAATTATTTTAATGATATCAATTAAATGCTGTAAATTAAAATAATAATGGTTTTTCAATGTATAGGCGTTTAATTAAAATTATATTTAAATTTATAATTTATTTTTAACATTTTTTTTCTAACCTATAGGCTAAATATTGAATATAGAATCTGATTGAAACAAATTTAAAACTTTAACTAAAACAAATCAAGCTATAAATTAAAATTAATGTATTAATAAATTATTTTAAATTTCGTTTAGGATAATATTTTATATTTAAAAAACATTATATTACTTTTAATTTAATGTATTAACTCAGTTTAATTTCAAACTAATCTTCAAAATTACGATAGTAAATGTTTTATAGTAAAATAGTTTTGTTAATTTGACTTTATTATTTCAGGAATTATATGTATTATTCATATTACAAGTATTTTTTTATTCTATGTGAATAACAATAGTTATTCAATATGTTCTTCTGTTATCGTCTTTGTGTACTTCTGTTATTTTATTTATTCTAAATATCCGTATTACTTCCATGCTGCATTTTCAATTGTCTTAGAGGTTGCAAGCTATCACATGTTTCGCTAGAGTTAATTTGTTGTAATCTCGAACAAAATATTTAATAAATTGTTTACAGCAAGTTTAAATAAACGCATATTTCCTCGTACAATTCTACGTAAAGCAAAATTATCGAATCCGTTGAATTACTAAGTTAATGTACTGTACTAATATATTCTGTTTTGCGCATTATACTATACTTAAAGTATCAATTTAATATTACAAATAAAACTATTTAGTAAATTATCGATTGATACATATTTTAAATCGAATAAACATTACTATAAAAGCTTAAATTTAACAAAATTTGACATTTTTGACTCAGGGATCTTTACAAGTAATTAACTAAAATAATTTATCCTAAAGATTCAATGAATTTTATTATTATGATTATTAATCTTTTGCATTCCAAGTTTGGAAATACTACGTTGACTTCCAAGGCAATTCTTTATTAAGCACAATTTACAAATTTGTTTTAAAAGGGGTTGAGGCACTTTTCCTTTTTTTCAAGATGCATTTCGGAGAAAAAGTCTCTTAACAGTTGCAACTGATAAAGAACTTTTGCTTCGAAAAGTTATACCTCAACCCCTATTTTAAAGAAATATGTAAATTATGTTCAATAAAGAATTGCTCTAGAAATCAACGTAGTATTACCTAAGTTGGAAAGCAAAAGATTAATTAAAATAAGTTTTTTTTTTTATTAGTGAATCTGTTAACTTTTTATATAATCTATTTATAATTATTTATTTCATCAAGATAAATAAAATTATAAGCGGAAGGAATTAAATTGGATTATCTTCATTAACTAGTCACAGTTAAGCTCTTTGTTATGAGCATATTATATCTAATCCATTGACGAGATAAAAATTGATTACAATTCATTTAAAAAATCCGATAAGGTTATTACTAAAGTTACATTGAGGAAGTATAAATCAAGTTAAACCTATTATTATTATTGACTAATCATTTCTTTGTCCTAAAGTTCAAATATTAAAATTGCCTAGGCCATATTTTATGAAGAGGATTTGTTTCGCTTTATGAATATCGCATGGAACGTTGTCATTTGACCTTCGGCTCCATTGATAAATTAGTAATATTCCACTTGGCTAAGTTTCATTAATAAAATAGCCTGTCTATATAGCGGATATGTATGAAGAGTGTTGCGGATATGCAAAGAGTAATTTTGCTTAACTTATATATTTTTAAATCTTCGTTGAAATCTGTAAATAAAATCACGATTTCAAAATTTATAACATTTTCTTCCTTATAAACACAAGATTATTGAAAAAAACATAAATGTATTTGTATTAAAACTCATTTAGAATGAAAATAGACAAATATCTAATCAAAATAGACAATAAATGATTTAGGCTATAAATAAGTAGGCCTATACTTAGAAGTGGTTTTTAACATAAACTTCCTTATATTTTATGTATAAATAAGATAATGTAACTTACTTAGACCTATTATGACATACGATGAAAAATTGAATTTATAAAAATTAATTTCCTGAATCGGAAATAATATAATTAAATAACTTAAAGTATGGTGTTTTGAATATAGAAATTGGAACATTTAAAACATCGAAGTACACGGATTTAAGTTATTTAATTATTTAATTGAATTTTTAAGGTTAACATTACCAATAATATATAATTTATTAACTTGAAATGAAAATTGATAAATTAGTTTAATATTCTTTAAAAATAGTAAAGACAATAAAATATATTAAACAGACAATAATATTAAAACTAATAAGCCTACTATAATAAGGATAAGCGAGCGAAACAGCTTCAAAGTGGGAAGATTAAATGGTAATATAACATATTTAAATAAAAGAATTAGAAGAAATAATGTTTTAAATTATATAAAATATTTTTTATAAAATAAATATTGTAAATTAAGCTCAACAATTTCCAACGTTTTGTAATTATGATATACTTTCGTTATTTCAAATTTCTAATACGGGTGCATCGAACTAAATGGTCCTTATAGCCTATCTATATATAGTTTATATAAACGAAATACGACGTTGGTTATTTGTATCTTTTATATAAAAATATATAAATAATATTAACAAGTAGATAAATAAAGTACTGTACTGTACAATTAGATTAATTTTGAAATTTTTTGGCGTAGGCCCATCTAGGAGAAGTCGTGGTACTCCAGTGTGCCACGGTAACTGGTTGAGAACCATTGATCTCGATTACAAAAATTAAAACTAATAAGTAGCTTAAGGAAAGAATAATAATTTGTATTAAAAAAAAACTGTGGTTTTTAACAAAATTATAATTTCATAAATTCGGTGATTAAGTTTACCGCAAGATTTACAGATAAAATCTTTATAAAATTTATGCCGACCGAGTAGATATAAATTATATTACAATAAATTAGACATGTAGAAATAATTAAAATGTATAAAATTATGTTATTTTAAAGAATTTAAAGAAATAAACTTGATTATGAGTTAGTTCATACCATTTACTATATATCGAGTGTACAATTATAAAAATATTATTGTTTAAGTATTAAAAAATTAAAGCTTATAAGTCAATTCTTAAAAGATATTTACATTAAATTTAATAACTAAAAAAGTTTAAAACAAAGTCAAATTTAAAATATCTGCACAGACCAATGAATTAATCATGTAACTGGACAAGGCCTAAAATGATTCGAAAAAGTTCTCACGCAAAAGGAGGGGAATAAATGTTATGCTTCATTAAAAGCGAAAAGTTTGGGATGATTTGCTGGGTGAAGAACCAATCACGAGATTATCTTGAAAATGTGCTCGTCGCAAGCGAGCGATAAAGAGCATTGATCCAACTTACATGAGCATTAATATATAACTTTGATTTGATTGGAAATTTAGTATCTCGACAGAGATTTCCGCTGCTATTATTCTTAGAGAAGAAATATTTATTGCATTTACTGTCGATTCTGCTACGTCGACACCATATGCTTCGCTTGTTAAGCAGTGAAATTGCTTTCGTCCAGGAAACCATATGTTAGTTAGTTCATTACTTGAACGAAAGTTTAATCAAATAAATTTGATTGGTTCCACAATAAATTTGATAAAACTATTTACATGTTGTATAAATGAATTTATAAATACTTTTTGTAATTAAATTTTTTTTTTTTTTTTTAAAGTTCGAATATTATGCTCAGCTCTAATAAATTTTACTTTTTACTTATTTTTTGATGATAATTATTAGCCTATTATATATATTTTAGTATTTAATTTAGATTACAAAAAGAACAGAAGTTTATGAAGAATTTTTGTTATAGTCCTTAGAAACAAAGACTAATTCGCTTTCGATTAACCTAAAATCCGTAAATATTAAACAAAAGTTTCAAATTTCTATAATTATCTCGCTTTAAAACATTAATTGCTATTAGTAAGGCATTGAAATAATCTATTAAATTTTCTTTTTCAACTGGTAAATTTTAATACTTTATTGCGTTATATTTATTATATAAATCCTAGAACACATTAAACTCTATAATACTTTAATAATAAGCAATCTAACAAACAGGTTTATAAAATTATTAGACTTTTAAAGATAGTTTTTAATCATTAAAATATGCTATCACGCACTTAACATAACTGCAATTTATAATAAAAATTAATAAAATAAAATATTCGAACATAAATTTTAGGTAAATAACTTTAAAAAATTTACGTTAAAATGTTTATGTAATTAAATTAGATTTAATAGTTTTTTAGTTAACAGTTCAAACTTTAAGATTATATTTTTTGTTTACTACAAAAATCCAATTGATTTATAGACGATCTTTTCATGTAATTATATTGGATTTTAAGTAGAGATTAATACCAATTTTACAAGAGATTTTTCAGAATTTAATTGCTTATTTAAGAATGTCGATTTTATTTTCCTCGTTTATTTTACTTTTTTTTGCTAAGCTATAACTTACTAACTTTTATTGTCAAACTAAAACTCTTTAAGTCTAATAAAAATATATCTTAATTTAATGGCCAAATCGATCATCAGCTACAATTTCGACCTCTAATGTCAGATATTTATCACAAAAGTCATTTATTTACTCACAAAATTGGCAATAT